CTGGTTACCTTTTACCGCATTTCGCCCTTTTGCAGACACATCCTTTTTTGCAGGGGCAACCTCAGGAAATTTTGACTCATTCATTGAGATTTTCTAAATGGAATGTGCTCCGTATGAAAAGTTTAGGGAATTACATGCCCGAACTCCACACGTAGTGTCATCTTATTCATTCAAGGAATATTTCTTGAGTCATTCCTGTGTGACTGGCAGTCTTGTAAATAGTAGAAACAATAAGAAAATAAAACAGGAACACCGCCCCGTCCTCAGGGGTCTGCGGGGTAGCTCTACAGGTGGCTCTGAGGGTACACAGCACGCATGTTGAGTCCAGCGCATGGGGATCTGGAGTGCCGCCCCAGTGACAGGATGGTGCCAGAGCTGGCCCAGATAAGTGGCCTGAAACGGTTCTGCCGGGGAAGGAAGAGAGGAGGGAGCCAGGCCGAGAAAAAGGCTAATGCCAAGTCTGAGTCGGGGCTGCCCTGGAGGCAGGACTAGATCAGGCTGGGGAGGCCATTTGGGTGGGACGGGGACTCTAAGACTGGAGAGGCCAGTGTCTTAGATTACAAGTAATTTTGCCTGTCTTCCAGTTCCCCCATATATTCTTGTTGTTTCAGCTGCAAAGTCTGAAAGTTCAGCCTCATTCACTGATTTTTTTTTCAGTTATTCACCCATAGTTTTATTTTTTCAGTAAAGTAGGACAGATTTTAATTGTCATTACCTTCAGAGAAGTAATTTTTATTTTTTAAATTTACATTTAATCACTGTACATCTTTACAGTGTACAGCATGGTTTTTCTCAGCATGAATATAGTACATATTCGTCAAGGCAAAGATATTACAATACATATTATTATTTTCTACCGTTTTATTTTTATTTTATTCATTTATTTTTTGCTTTAGGGCACATGCACTTGGCAGAGATAGAGAGAGAGAGTCAGAGACCGTGAGAGGAGAAAGTGGGAAATCACCTCCCTGGGGGATGCCCATGCCACAATCCCATCTCTTCTATTCTCCTTCCGGGATCTTAGGCATGCCCAAGAATATACACTTCATGTGATTTCCAAGCCACCAGGTCCAGGACTCGAACCATAGCTGGCCATGTAGGAGTCCAGCAATGTAACCGCTATGCCATCTGCTAGCCCTACATACATATTATCATCAGCAGATAACTTTTCATTTTTGTGTCTATTAAGTGTGTTGTTTAGGGGGACCAGCAGTTGGCGTAATGGCTATGTCGCTGGACTCCCATGTAGTCGCCACAGTTCAAGTCCCTGACTCGTGGCTTAAACTCACACTGACGTGTGTGCGTGTGAGCCCAAGATCCCGAGAGGAGAATGGAGGAGAAGGGATTGTGGTGTGACCATCCCCCCTGGGGGGGGGGTGATTTCTTGCTTTCTGTCTCTATGTCTCTCTCTGTCTGTCTGGCGAGTGCACATGCCCTAAAGCAGAAAAAAAGAAAAGAAAAGAAAAGAAAAGAATAGTTCTATCAATATTTTAACATAGTTAAATATGTGTTTCATTTCATTTGTTACAAACAAAGGGATATTCTTCGAATGGTCTTTCCTTGTCAAATTTCGGTATATTTTGACATCTTTGCCATTCTAGGGGATATTATGGTGAGCGGAAGTAGTCAAGGCCTTTGCCACAACAAGCGTTCTTGGGGGGTGGAGGAAGTGTGGAAGAATATTTTTGTTCTTTTTCATTCACCTCAGCTTTTGCTTTCGGTCGATTTTAGAATTCTGAAAATGTGTACTCTTGAATCACGTTTTGGTGTGAAAGCACAGTATGTAAATGGAAAGTGTGAGGGAGAGTCGGGGGTGGTCCTGGTAAACCACTCGCACGGGGCGGACAGGGCCATCGTCCTTCCTCTGTACTCCAAAACTGAAAGCCCAGTGTGAGGTTTGGTGGAATGTGGTTGGGTGCAGTGGTTTTCTCATTCTGAAAAAGAGCACCGGGCTTTGGACAGCAGTACGGAAAGATTCAGGATGAACTGAGAATGAGTTTGAACACAAAACAGCCCTGAGTGAGTGGTGGAAAAAAAAAATAATAATAACCCAATTTAAAAACAGGCAGCAGAGATGGTGCCGGATAGTGGTGCCATGGTACAGTGCAACACTTTGCAAGACTGACATGCAAGGCCATGTGCCGGTTTACATCCAGAGCCCCCCTCAAGTACACTGGCATGGACGTGCCTAGGAGCTGAAGCTGGCTGAAACTAGGGGTGGATCGTGGAGGTCAAGACCCTATTGGAGGTGCCTCTCTCTCTCTTTTTCTCTTTCACTCTCCATCTCTAGCTCATGGAAAGAAAGAAATTAAAAAAAAAAAAAAAGGCAAAGGATTCAAACACAAAGTTCTGCAAAAAGAGGTACAAATAACCAGTGAGCAGATGTTCAACATCATTCATTAGCGATCAGGAAAATGCACATGAAAACCACCAAGAGATACCACTTCACACCGCCAGGATGGCTTCCATCCAGAAGATAGACCACAGCAACTGTCGGGTCCCAGTGGAGAAATCGGCACCTTATTCATTGCTGTTGAGGCTGTGAGATGGAGCAGTCAGTTTGGAAAGCAGTCTGGCAGTTTTGAGAATGTTAAATGCAGAGTTACCATATAACCCAGCAGCTCTGCTCCTTGAGACGTGAACACATGACCCGTGAAAGAAGCAAGTCACAACAAGCCATGTGCTGTGTGGTTCCATCTGCATGCAATGTCTACAGTACGTGAATGTATAGGGACCGGAGAGGAGGCGGTGGCTGTGGGGTCAGGGTGGGAGCCGGAGCTGGGGAGCATCTACTGATGGGCACAGGGTTTTTTACGGGGTGATAAACGTTCTGGACCGAGACAATGATGATTGCATGATACTAAGATGATGCTGGAAACCACCGAATCTCAAACTTTAAAAGGGTGAATTTTATGTCATGCAAGTCATAGCTCAGTAACCGTTATTTCAAAAGGACAAGATGGTACCAAATTTGCTTTCTTGGCGTCGAAAGATTATGAATTACGCATACCCTTTTTTGTTTTATTTCATGACTCCCGTGTGAGGCTCACTCATAGGACATGGGGACCTGAGTCCTGTAGTCCACATTGCCTAAGCCCCTCAACATTGCATGCATGTACCAAGTGCTCAGGGAGCACCCAGGACCCAACCAGAAAGGAGACCTGACTCACCCTAAGTCACAAGGCAGCAGGGGAAGCAGCTTTGGAGTGCACCTGCCTTTATTAGACTATAAATAAGCCAGGGGCATAGATCTTCAGCCTCCTTGTTTTAGGGGGTTTAACATTTTTTTAAAGAATTACTTAATGTTATTAATTATTATTATTTTTAATTTGACCAGAGAGAGAGGGGAGTGGGGTGATGGGGACAGAGTGAGAAATCCAGCCACCAGGTCTAGGACTCGAACGGCAGTTGACCATGTGGGAGTCCAGCATCTTAACCACCATGCCACCTGCTGGCCCCTCAGGGGTTTTACTATTAGTTTGTGTGTTGTGCTTAGTAATATAAGGAGAAAACATATCAATCACTGTGCGCGCGTGCATGTGTGTGTGTGTGTGTGTGTGTGTGTGTGCTTATTTATGTCAGAAGGAGAGAAAGAAGACACCTCCAATGGTACCTGGTCATGCTGCCATTCCCACTCCTCCAGTTCTCCATCCCGTCAGGATCCTGGGTGGATGCTCAGTGTGTTTTTCAAGCCCCTGGGACCAGATTCAAACCCTGGTTGGCCGTGTGGGATCTGCATCCTCTATTCAGGACTCAAGGGCTCTGGTATAGGGCTAGCCTCCCAGTGACATTTACTCTTAAAAACTACTTGAAGAACTGCAAAATACCGAATTATTGTTCAACTCCCTCTTAAAGTTCAGTCAGTTCACATACGTATTAGCATCTTGTTGTACTATGCACTGTGCCTACTAATGAGAAAAGTTGATTATACATGTGATATGCCAGAGAGTCATTTTTGTATTTTCATTTGAATATAGCAAATGAAACAATCTTTGAAATTCAGCTGTGTTCTTTTTTTGTCTTTATTTATGATAGAGCATTTGTACGTGACGGGAGGTGGGGGAAGAGAGAGAGAGAAGTGTTTGCCGTAAGATCTGGTCACACTGCAATTTCCCCCTTCTTGTCCATCCAGTCCTGGGCACCTGCATTAGTGTCCAGTGTGATTCAGGCTGACCCGGCCCGGTTCTCAAACTGCAGTCACCTTGTGGGGTCTGGCTTCTCCCACGCAGCGCAGCCTACCACTCTGCGCCATGGGGCTGGTCCCAGGTCAGCTGTGTTCTAAAGCATACGTCCACCCACTTTGTGGTGCATCAAAATCAACTGCAACTAGGGAACCAGCAGTTACCGTAATGGCTATGTCACTGGACTCCCACGTAGTCGACTGCGGTTCGCGTCCCGGACCCGGTGGCTTAAAACTCACGCCGGGCGCGTGTGTGTGCGTGCCCAAGATCCCGAGAGGAGAATGGAGGAGAAGGGATTGCGGCGTGACCATCTCCCCTGGGGGGCGATTTCTCGCTTTCTGTCTCTCTGTCTCTCTCTATCTGGCGAGCGCACGCGCCCTATAGTGAAAACTTCTCAAAAAAAAAAAAAAAAAATCAACTGCAACTAGAAAAGGTGAAATTTCCTAGGCCCTCAGCCCAAGAGCTTGGTTCCAGCTGAATTTCTCAGGAGCACCCACGATGACTCTGAGCAACCTGTGAAAAGCAGCATGCCGGGGATTCTGGTCTGGAAAGAATTAGGGGGTGACACACTGCCATAGGTAAAGTATAGGGACCAAGATATTTTCCAGTCGTTCGATATTAAAAATAGATAGCACCTCCACTCTT